AGCTCGTGGGGTTGTGCGATGGGTGAGGGTCTCTGCAGAGTGATGCTTGCAGTAGGCTGGGGGAAGATGGTGAAATCTGGTTCTAAAGCCCTAAAATCCCCAAGTCTGCTGGCTCTTCCCAGCTCCAGGCTGGAGCAGGGTGAGGGGGAAGGAGGCGCAGTGCTGGGGGGCTGCAGCAGCAGGGGGGTCTTTGGCAGAAACTCCTTCCCATGGGCACAGTCTGTGGGGTTGGTACCTAAGGGAGAAACCTGGATTCCAAACACAGAGCACAAATTTATTTGTCTCACTGCCCAGAGGAGTTGAACCTCGCGGTGCCATTGCACCACAGCACTGCCTCCCCGGGCTCCCGATCGGAGCAGAGCGAAGCCTTGCCTTTTTTCCCCCCTTTCTTTTTCCCCTGTTGCAAATTTATTAATTACTGATTTAGCCTGGCAACGCAGGCAGTTGAAAAGCAGGCGCAAATTGCTCAGATTCATAATGTCTGATGAGATTTCAAAGCACTAAAGAGCAGCAATTGAACCCGTTCCAGGGATGAGGCTGGCAGCGAGTGCCAGGAGCCTCCAGTGACGGAGGCTCGATGCGATGTGACGTGTGCTGGGAACCCGGGCTGTGCGAGGAGGACCAGCCACCGACCGTGTGGGACAGGGCTCCAAAAATGTGGGGCTTGGGGGGCTGCCACTGCTCCCTGCTTTGTGTTCCCAGGAGGGCTGTGGTTTGATGCCCGTCTCGCAGTGAAGTGCTGGAGTCATTGCTGAGATCTTGCTGCTCCCGAGGACACACTGGGGCTGGCTTGGGGTGACAGAAATAGGATGGTGTCCCCAGGTTCCCCCAGAAAGTGAGCTGGTAGCGGGGGTGCTACGACAACAGTGGGACTGGGAGCTGTGGGGCTGCCTCCATGCATGGGTGATCCGAGCATCGCTCTCATTAGGGCTCTGCCACAACGAGGGAGGGATTAGAGCTGCCTGTAATGAGGAGCAGGGGGGGTGCCTTGCTGATGCTGCCCTGCTCGGCTGACTTGTGCACAGGAATTTGTCCCCATCACCCTCCTGTCCCCAGCCCTGCCTGTCTGCGGGTACCCACAGGCCAGGGGAGATGTCCCCAAAGTGCAAAGCCTCCCGTGGCCGCAGTGTTGAGGGTGGATGGACGCGTGGACAGCGCCTGCCCTCACCCCGTGCTCCCCGGTGAGACCAAAGCCATCCCCGCTGCCAGGAGCTTTGCCTCCACGAGGGCACGGAGACGTGCCCCTAATGACTTCTCCTCTAATGAGTCTGGTCCTCAGGGCTTTGAAGTGGCATGGATAATGAGTCCTAGGGCAGGGAAGTGCAGCCACTGACTTGCCAATTAAAGACTCTGGGCTTGGAAACCTCATTTAAACGGCCTCATTTGCGAAGGGGAGGCTGGGGAGTGCACAGCGTGGGGTGGGCATGTGCTGGGGTGCAGCTGGGTCAGGGGTGGGTGCTCCCTGCTGCTCCGTGCAATGTTTTGGGTGCGGGCACAGGGACCTGCCGGGTGTTCCCAGTGGCAATTGGGCTTGCTGGGAGCAGGAGCAGCCAGAGGTGCCCGGACTTGGCCTCCTGCCCCTGCTTGGCTGCGGGTTTGCAGCATCCCCGCGTGTCCCCGTGCCAAGCTAGCGTGGGGCTGCTGCAGCCTCCTGCCAAGCTTACAAAACGCTGCCGCAGCTGGGCTGAGCACGGCCCCATCCCCTCCTCGGGCTGCACAGGGAGCAATTCCCAGCTGGGTGGGGGGCCGTGCGCGTCCCTGTTTGCAGCGTGGCTGCATCAGCCCCCACTGCTCCAACCCGAGGTGTTTGCACAGTGCTCCGCAGCCGCCAGCTCTGCAGGGAGCCCGGGCAAAGCGCTCCCTGATTGATGGTGTATGTTAGCGACAGCAAAAGCTTATTATCTACCTGCAATCAAGAGGGCACTTGAGCGCTGCGCTTCCCAGAGCAGCTGCGCTCCCACCGAGCCCATAATGGTGGAGATTAAACCCTGACCTGTGTTTGACAACACGCGTTAACCCTGCCGCAGCGAGGAGAGTCCCCGGGCGAGCGGCTGGCGGCGGCGTGGGGACGCCGGGAGGGGACATGAGCAGGGGGGACACGGCCACGTGTTTGGGGACCGCGTGGGCTGCGCTCTGCTCAGGGAGGGCTTTGCTCACAGGGCTGCTTTGCACAACTGGGCTGGGCGCACGGGGCTGCTGCACGTTTGTTGCAGTTTTGCTCCTGGGGACGAAGAGAGACCCCTAGGTGTTTGGCTCCTGGTGTTCAGATGGGTGGCCCCACAGCCATCCTGTTGCTTGTGCCGTTTTTGGGGCTGTTTCTTGCTGCAGGGAGCTCTGCACCCCTCGGTGCTGCCCATCAGCAGGATGCCATCTAGTGCTTGAGCATCCTTAAACCAGGTGCCTACCTATGAGCATCTCCAGGCTTCCTGCACCTCTCCGTCTCTCTCCCAAATCTGGGGGAGAAAAGGAGCTCAGCTCCTGCCTCCTCCCTGGCCCCGGGGTCCCAGAGCGATGCTGTGCCATCCTGGCGGAGGAGGGAGAGCGGCCGCTGCCTCCCAGTCCCCACCTCATCTCTTTAATTTCTTTCCCTAAAGGAGTGTTCTGACTAAAGGCAGTGTTGTGGAGGTAGCGGGAGCATCGCCTGGCAAATCCCCCTCCCTGCCGCAGTGCCGGGGGGCCATGAATAATGCAGGTGCTAAAAGCTGGGGCTGCTGGAGGTGAGCAGGGTGGCACTGAGCTGCTCCCTCCCCCTGCTCCACTGGACTTCTCCCAGACCATTAATTAGGAAGCAAAACTGTATTTATTAATTGGCCTTGCCAGCATTTGCATGGGGGCAGGAGGAGGGCTCCCAGACCCTCTGGGGCTTTCACCTGGGCTGCTTTTGTGTTGCTATTTTTAAGTAAGGAGAGCCCCAATTAGCTTTAGTAAACTGGAGGAGCTGCAGACACCAGTGTCCATCCTTAGGGCAGTTTTCCTGCTGCATCCAGCCGGCTCGCTGGGCTTCCCTCCTCGCTTTTCCCTCCTGCTGGCCTGGCTGCATCCTGCTCGCATGCTCCGTGCTCTCCAGCCGCTGCGGTAATAAGGTCCTCATTACGCCCTAATTGGCCATATCCTTTTTTTTTTTGGTTACATTCCTCGTTAGTTTGATTTAACAGAGCTGCTGCGTAACTCAGCCACTTCTGAATTGCTATCGATTTAGTCTCCTTTCTTATTTATTTATGGGCCCATCTCTTGCGCCACCTCCTCATCCCGTGCGTACAAGCAGCGAGCCCTTGGCCGGCGCTCACCTGGCGGCAGCGTTTGTCTGAGCAGCGTGGATGCTCAGAGCTGCTGCCTGGGGAAAAAAAGGGCAATAAATGCTTGGGGGCGACCCCCCGCTGCTGCTGCGCTGGCAAAATCCCAAAGCTGGCTTTGTTCTGGCCCTGCTGGGAAGGGAGCGGGGCTGCAGATGCTGGGCACGCGCCACGGCCCCCCCGTGGCCCTGTGCTGCTCATGTGTGTGCTCAGATGGAGGAACAGGCAGCTTGCCTGTGGGATACTCGTTACTGGGAGCGTTGTTTCTGGGAGCCTCGTTACTGGAGGCCTCGTTACTGGGAGCCTCACAGTGTTGGCACACGGTGGCACGGTGCCACACCGTCCCCAGCGCTGTCACGTGTGTGCGCCCGCCTGCCTGCCCGCGCCGGGGCTCCTGAAAGGCTCTGGTGTTTGCAAACTGCTGCTTTGGTTGGATTTTTTCCTCTTATTGCTATGGAAACTGTAATTAAGCCGCACTGGCTGCGTAGCCCGAGCCACCGTCTCAGCCTGGCCCCGCGTGCCCCAGGCAGGGATGTGCCGGTCCCGCCGGCACCGCCTGCTGCTGCCCGCCGCGCCGGGCCGAGCTGTCTGTCCGGCAGTCTGTTCATCCAGCTCCCTCCTCTCCATCCATCTGGCTCCCCAGATGGGAAACAAACATCAGATTGGCCCAGTTTCTTACCGGAGGGGAAAAAAATAAAATAAAATAAAATAAAAAGTCTCCGTGGTTTGGCTGCGCTGGGAGGCAGCCCCTCTCTCGGTCTTTGGGCTACAAGGGGCAAATGACCCCATTGTGCCCCAGCCCTGCTGGAGGGAGTGAAGCCTCCTCTCCTGGAGGCCTCCGGCTCGTGGCCTCTCCCTGTGCTCCTCCTGCTCCTCTCCAGTGCCGTAATTGTAATCGGGGGACTCTCAGCCCGCCTGTTAATTGCTCTGACCTTTGCTTAAGCGGGGATCTTTTAGTGGCAGGTGAGGCATCAGCCGTGTCATTTACTATGCAAATTGAGACCATCAATTACATCCAGAAGGTCCTGCAATGTTTAATTTTCTCTCTCATCTCTTTCTTTATTGGCATCTGCAAAAACATTGGAGCAGGAGGGCCCTGGCTTTGCTGAGCTGGAGGCTGGGAGCCCGGCAGCCGTGCGCGGGGACTCGTCCAGCTGCCAGCTTCCCTCTGTCTCTTTTAATTTTAATTAGCTGCTTTTGCAAATGTCCCATGGCTGCCTTGGGGATCAGCCTGGGAGGCTTCTCCCCAGCCTGGCAGAAAGCACCTGGGGGTCCCTGGGCGTGCACCTGGGGAAGGAGAGGAGTGGGGCTGGGGAGCTTGGCTGCAGGGAAGGGAATAAAACTCCCTGCGGGGCTGTGCTGCTGCTGTCCTGGGGCTGAGGGACTCCTCCAGGACTGTGGCACATCCACGATTCTCCCCAGGGGCCGTTTCATCCAGTATTTGCCCGTTGCACAAGCAGAGCCCTTTGCACAACCCAGCCCTGGGTGCTGGGAAGGGGAGGGTCCCATGGGGGGGTCTGTGCTTCCCGTGCCCCCCGTGCTCCCCCCAGGCTTGGTGCAGCCATTGCAGGACGTGCTCCAAGCGTGGGGTGGCTCTGGGGGGGACCCGGGGAGTGTCAGCACCCCCTGGTGCGACTGGGTGAAGGCAAGGGGTGGGGGGCACGGGGTGGGAGCTGGGGTCTCAGTGCCGGCTGCTCTGTGCCTCAGGGGGGGTGTGCGTGGCTCAATCCGTCAAGATCCCCCGGGAGCCCAAGCCGGGAGAGTTCGACAAGATCATCCGCCGCCTCCTGGAGACCTCCCACGCGAGGGCCGTCATCATCTTCGCTAACGAAGACGACATCAGGTGCGGAGGGGCCGGCCGGGCCACGAGGGGAGGCTGGGGGGTGCCCGACACGTGCTGTGTGCGTGTCACTGGCCAGGACGTGGGACACGGGCTGCTGGTGGCAGGAGATGGGCAGGAGCTGGGGCTGCAGCGGGCACGTGTGTCTGCAGCGTGGCACAGACCTGTCCGCAGCGGGCACCACCTGAGCTGACTTGGAACTGGCCACCTGGTGGGTCTCTGCCATGGGACACCAGCAAAATGGGGCGCAAAGGGGCAAAAATCTGCTTTCTGTTGGCTTTGGGAGCCCCTGCTGTCACCCCCCAGGTGCTTCACGCTGCTCATGGCTGGGCCAGAGCTCGCGGGGTGCCTCCTCCAGGCTCTGCTGTGCCGTGCAGCCTCAGCCCCTCAGTGCAGACCTGGGGGGGCCTTTTGGGGACCCCTCCCCACGCACCCGTGCTGCCCACCGGGTCTGCAGCCACTCCTGGAGGCAATGAGCAGCTCCACAAGTGCAGCAACATCTTGCGGCTCCTGTTGTTCGTGGAGCAGAATGATTCAGATGGAGATACCCTTGATTTCCTAAGTATCTAATTTATTAATCAGCAAACATTATGTAAATGTGGGTAAACTGCGATTTTAAATCAGTTTACATCAGATGTGCAAATGCTGCGAGTTTTTTTTTTTTTCCCTTCCTTAATAGAAATGTCTGCAAACGTGACATTTACACGGCTGTGTATTGAGAAACGGGGGATTTACCTTGCTGTGTAAATGGCAAGCCCCATTAACTGGCGTTTGTAAGCATTTACCCATCCAAACAGGATAATATCCCATGAAGATTGCTTTCCATACACCAGCTTGCACGGGGGTGAGCGTGGCACAGGGTTTAGCCATGGCACAGGCACGGCTGCGATGCCCACCCCGATGCCAGCTCCACCTGCAGAGCCCCGACCCCGACTGCTTGCCCCGACCCTGCAGGGCTGAGCCACGGAGCAGGATGGGGCTGGGACATTTTGCTGAAATCCCTTCCCTGCTTCGTGGTGGGATGTGTCAGGAGCTTGGGGCAGCCCTGGGTGAGCGTGGAGCAGCCCGGGTGATGAAGCCGCCCTAGGGACCCGCACACGAACCCGAGGGGATGGCGAGCCCCAGGGAAAAGCAAGCGGATGGTCGGATCCGGGAGAGGTCCCCTCTGCCTCCGGGGACATCCTGAGCTGGCTGGCACCAGCGGAGCGTGCAAACGCCTGCAGCCGAGTGCCTGGCTGCCACGAGAGGTGCTCAATGGGACAGGCACCACCTCCAGCTCCCCACCGCTGCTTGGCTGCACGACCGGCACCAGTACAGCCCAGTTCAGCTCTCGCCAGGGCACTGGCAGTGCTGGCTGCCTCTCTGCCGCTGTTTTCCACGCTGCCTGGAGCTGAGAGCACGCAAACTCTCCAGTGCTGCTGCTTTTCCTGCCTGCTGCAGCATAACCTGATTTCTTTTTTTCCTAATGTTGGGTAATTAAGGGAGAAATTCAATTACCAGTCAGCAAATATGCAAATAGAGTGGGAGAAGCAGCCTCCGTGCCTAGGCTGGGGAGGACGGAGGGTGCGGGAGCTGAGCAGCGTGCTTTGCTCTCGTACCCTGCGTGCGGTGCCTGGGGGATGCCAACGGCACCGAGCCCTGCTCCCACCCCATGCCGTTTTGGGGACACGGGCACAAAGCTGGTGTCCCGACCCTGTGCTGCCGCTCAGCGCCTGCTGCTTCTCTCCACAGGAGGGTGCTGGAGGCAGCCAAAAGGGCGAACCAGACAGGACATTTCATCTGGATGGGCTCGGACAGCTGGGGCTCCAAAATCGCCCCGGTGCTGCACCTGGAGGAGGTGGCCGAGGGCTCCGTCACCATCCTGCCCAAGCGGGTCTCTGTCAAAGGTAAGTGGCTGTGCTGGGGGGTTCGCTCAGCTCCCCCCTGGGTTGGCTGTCCCCCCCCCCCCCCGTGGCATCCCTTAACCACAAGGTTTTGGCTATCACAGGCTCAGCATTTTCCAGGGGGTTGTCCCCAGGGGGGTTCAACCTGGGGTGCTGCCAGCCTGCAGCCACCCTTGCTTTGCCTGGGGGGGAGCTCGGGCACAAACCCACCACAATCCCTCTATTCCCAAAACCCAGTTGCCCACGGGCCCCTTCCTTCCCCTCTGCCCTTTGGGGCCACGCTGAGCATCTCCCCGCCAGCCCAGAGGCTCACACCCCCCCTCCGTCCCCTCTTCCCCCTGGGCAGGTTTCGACCGCTACTTCTCCAGCAGGACGCTGGACAACAACCGCCGAAACATCTGGTTTGCTGAGTTTTGGGAGGAAAACTTCCACTGCAAGCTGAGCCGGCACGCGCTGAAGAAGGGCAGCAGCATCAAGAAGTGCACCAGTAAGGAGCGTGGGGATGCTGCGGGCACGAAAGCCAGGAGGGAATGATGCTCCAGAAATGCTCTTGCCCGTCCCCGTGTGCTGTCTGTGATTTAGGAGACGCGGAGTGTGCTGGGTTTGGGTGTGTGAGGCACGGTTCCTGCGCAGAGCTCCCAGGGCTGCTCCCTCTCTCGCACGTTTCTTGTACAGCTCCCTTCCCTTGGCCCCGTTACCTGCAGGCACAAAGCCACCCAGATTTGGGCTGGATTCTGCATTATTTAGCAGCAGTTGGATAACTGCCTCTCTCTCATCTCATGCTTGGCAGAAGCACCGCTGTCCTGTGAAAGTCACGGAGCCGCTGGTGCCTCCTCATTCCTTTGCAAACAGCTCTGGTCTAACCCGGTGGGGCTGAGGTGTCCTTGTTCCTCTCCGGGCAGGGACTGGGGCACCCTTGGGTGCTCCAGCCCCAGCAGAGCCCAGCGCAAGCCTCCTGGCCTCCTCCTTAAAGCCCATCGGGTGTTTTTAGCCACTTCCAGCTAAAGCGGGCTTGTCGGGATTAACGCGGTGAACAAGGCGAGCCGGGGATCTGTCTGGCTGACAGCGCTGCTGCTGAGGTGCTGCTTGGAGGCTCGAGGAGGTGACATGTTTGCTGAGAGATGGGAGCGATTTGCTGCCTGCCTGGCACCGGCTGAAGACCGATAACGCCACGGCGGCTGGCAGGCTGCGAGGCACCGGGACGTGGGGACATTTGCACGTCCCCCCCTGCCCCTTCAGGAGGGACTTGGGCACAAGCTGTGCCTGGCTGTGCCTGGGAAGTTGGATTGGGAAGGGGCTGATTTTTTAATCCCCTTTCACCACCGTGGACTGGCAGGATGGTGCTTGTACATCCTCACCCTTGGAGGCAACCCCCAAATGATCTGACCTGGGGGCGTCTCGTGGGTTTGGCAAGGGGTTTCGCACACCGCAGCATCCCTCGGGAGCCTTGTGCCTGATGCACAGGGTTCAGCAAGCCATAAGGGCAGCGAGAAAACTTGCCCATACCCAAACTCTCGGGTAGCTGAGAGCCCCCTGCTTGTTCCTGATTGCATCAGGAAATCCCTGGCACCAGGAGATGCATGAGGAGGTCCTGCAAAGCGCTGATGTCTTCATCTTCATAGCAACGTAGTGCTAAAACGAGCAATATTTCAAGCCTAAGGTATTAGTGGAGGCAGCTGAAACCATGACATGGCAAATGTCCTAGGAGCTGTCTTTAGATTATCGGAATTTGTCAGGAAATAAATTATCTCCTGAACATTTGCTTGGCAGATTAACAGAGAGGGGAAATAATGCGGGACCTGGAGTGAGCAGCCTGCCTGCATGGTGCCGTGCGTGCCGGCTTTGCGGGATTTATGCAAATGCCCCACGTAGGGTGGTTTTGTAGGAGTTATGTGGGTTTTCTCCATGAGCTTCCCGTTTGGGTAGAACACAAAATGCACTGGGAAATGCCAGCTCTTAGTGCTTTGCATCCCAAAACGGGAAGCCCAAAGCTCCCTCACCAAACAGGAGAGGGTTTGATTTTCCTTCTGTGCTTGCAGTTCCTCATATTCTTTTCCTTGGTTTGCTCATCTCTGCCCAATATTTTTTTTTTTTTTTGTGGGACTGGCAGTTCTCCAGCACAGTCTGTCCCAGCTGGGCCAACAGGGGAGGATTTGCCCCATTTACGTGTTCCTTAAGATGAAGAAAGGCTGCTGGTGGGTAGGACTGGGCAGAGATGGGGGATGCCTCTGTGTTCCTAAAAACCCACAGCTTCTCCAAACCGGCACCTCCAGCTTTGGTGCTGAGGTGCCCAGGGGCAACTGGAAGGCAACATCACCCGAATTTTCTCTGGAGCAGAACTGGGAGTGGTTTTGATTCACTCTGCTGAAAGCCAATGCTGGCGATGGGGTTGGAGTTGCTGCTGATCCTGTCTCACCCCGCTGGAGCAGATAGCCACTGCCGTCCTCAGAGGGATGCCTGTGAAGGCTCCTCGCGTGCTTGAGGATTAATTACCAGCCCTGCAGAACGATGCACGACCCTGCTATTATAATCAGCGGGGTCACATCCCTTTTGCAGCCCTAATCTACTGAGAGTTTCACGGAGATTTATTGTCTCCGCATTGGGAACGCGCCGTCATGAGCCTCAGCATCCTGCTCCCCCTCGTCCCCTCTCCACGCCAGCCTAATTCCTGCTGCCGTGGGTGGGCTCCTGGGGGCAGCAGCAGGGCTGGGATGCCCCTAGGGGCTCGGCGCCTGTGTGCAGTCTGTAACACCCTTTTTTTTAACGGGTAATTATCTTGACAAGACAGAGTGGCTTGTCTGCGCGCCGAGATGAATGCGGGGAAGGGCCCCAAGTTGAGGGAGAAGATTAATAGCCCCTGTCAATAACGTGGAAGAAAGGATAACTTGACGGGTTTCGCATGAGTAATCTCCACGTAGTCCAAAAGCATTTTTATAACTTTGAAGGATGGGCTATAAATTCCCCTCCTTGATATCATCTTTTCTTGTTGGTCAGTTCGCTATCAATTTGCCTTAGTGTGCTGTTGGCTGCGCCTCTGCGTCCGGCCTGGGGACTTGGAGGATGCTGTCCTGCCCGCTTGGAGGAGCCAGGATTAATTCTGGATGCCCTCAGATAGCTTTCGAGGATGCTCGTGCCTCTTTTGGAGGAGGCTCAAGCTTTTGGGGAAGCTCTTCAATCTGCTGCCACTGAAGGAGAGGTGCCCTGCGTGCACCCATCCATGCCACAGAGGTTTTGGCTCCCTGAAGCAGCATCACCCCATGGCAGATACTTTCTTGGCTGTAATTAACAGCGTGCTACATTAATCGGTGTCTTTTGCTAAATGATGAACACGTTTCCAGCCCCATTAAGGGTGGTTACGACAGGAGAGACAGGCAGCTGTTGCTGGTAATTATCGTGTCCTTGCAGCATCCTGCAAATGGGGCCAGCCGGGGCTGGGGGGTCTGCGGGGAGCCAGGCTGGTGGGGGGGACACGAGGGGCACAGAGTGGTGGGGACTTCGGGAACCTGACAGGGGACGTGCAGCTGGTGTTGGGGATTGCCTTGGGGGTCCCTTGGTGCTGCTGGTGAGAGCCCAGTGGGTGGGAGCACCCAGCGAGATGAACGAGGGCAGCGGTGGGGTGAGGGTGGGATGGGAATCACAGCCCAGCTGGGCGCCAGCCCTAGGAGCTGCTGAGCGTGTCCCAGTAACGTGGGGTGTCCCGTGGCACTGGGATGGGACATCCTGAGGGCTCTCACCCCCAAGGCGTGTTTTGCCAGCACCCACGTGCTCAGAACCAAGTTGCAGGGAGGAGGTGGGGATGTTTTCCCCGTGGGTGTTTCCTGGCTGCGCACCGCACCCCTCCTGCCCCATGAGCCCAGCTCAAGTACCCGAAACACCCCTCGAGGTGTGCCCAGAGGGGCTGGGGGAGAACCTCAGCATCCCCAGCAGCACCTCCCTCTGGACCCTCTGGACCAGGGACGCTGGCAGCAGGATTTCAGCTGGAGACCAGGCTTGAGGCTGAGCCCTGCAGCGCAAACGCAGCCGCTGCCTTGGGCTGGCACCAGGAATTACAGCTGCAGTGTGGGTTTTGGGGTGGTTTGGGGAAGAGTTCGGGGTGGTTTGAGACACGTTTCTGCCCTGCTGCTCCTCCTTGGGGGATGGCTGGGTGGTGTAAGCTTCCCACTGGGAAAGAGGCTGCCTGATGGGTTTGTAATTTTGGGGATGGAGTTGCGGCGGGGTGGCAGCAGCCCTGCTCTTGGTGTGTTTGCAGACAGGGAGCGGATCGGCCAGGACTCCTCGTACGAGCAGGAGGGCAAGGTGCAGTTCGTCATCGACGCCGTCTACGCCATGGGGCACGCTCTGCACAACATGCACAAGAACCTGTGTCCTGGCAAGGTGGGGCTGTGCCCCAGGATGGACCCGGTGGACGGCGTGGAGCTGCTCAAGTACATCCGCAACGTCAACTTCTCAGGTCTGTCCGTACCCGGGGCTGGGGGGAGTCAGTCCTGCTGGGCTGGGTGTCCGGGGCTGTCCCCCACCGTGGGCACCCAGGTAGCAGCACCCACAATTTACTGCTGTAGCAGCAGGTCCTGCCTGCTCCCCGTGCTGCCGCCTGGCACCGTGGCTGACAGAGGTCCCTCGGCATCACACTGCTGTGCCCTTGTCTGTCCTCAGATCTCTGGAAACGCATCTTTTCCTCTGCTCTATCTCTTTAATAAACATTCTCTGTCTTGTCCTCCTTATTACTTCTATTTATCTCCTCTCTGTGATCTCCTCTGCAGTGTCTCTTTTATTTATTTTTCCCTCCTGCTTGATTTTTCTCTTCCCTCCTTTTATTAGTATTTATCTGTTGATTTAACATTAAAGCTGCTTTCCCCCCCCTTTCTTAAAAAAAGCAGTGCAACGGCCGGTGTAACAGCACACTGCACGTGGCCTCGCAGCGAGCTGCGGCTCCTGGTGGGGGCCGGTGGGTTGATCCCCATAGGGGGTCCCTGTTCCAGCTCAGGTGTGGGCTTGGTTTTGTTTTCCATAATTCCTTCCTCCACCCCGTGCTCATGCTGGCACCGTTCTGGCAGCTTGCTGAAGCTGGCAGCAGTCCCAGCAGCGAGAAGCCCCACACTGAGGGGGAGTGTTGGGCCCTTGGGTGCTGTCACCCAGGGCACAGCGTGGTGCTGGGCGCTCCGGGTGCTGAGCCCTCCGTCACTTGCAGGCATTGCTGGGACTCCGGTGACCTTCAATGAGAATGGAGACGCTCCGGGGCGTTACGACATCTACCAGTACCAGATCAGGAACTCCACTCCCTGAGTACAAAGTCATCGGGCAATGGACCGACCACCTCCACCTGAAGGTACGGTTGGGGCTGGCTGCGTCCCGTCCCCGGGGAGGGAATGTCCCACGGTATTTCCCCTGCACCCATCCTGTAGGAAACTCACCTAAGACTCAAGGATGTGATTTTAGGCAGCCAGACCTGGGGGTGTCAGGGGCACGCGTGTGTGGTTCAGCCACGGTGACGTGCCACCAGCGCGTGTGGCCATGCCCTGCTGGCACGGGGCCGCTGGGTGTCCGACTCCACAGCTCTGATAAGGGAAGGAGAAGCAAAAGCAGAGCAGAGGGGCTGTGCTTTGGGTGTCTGATGTTGAATCCCCCATGTTTCCATGCTGGGTAGGGCTGGGGGTGTACTGGATGGGGCGAGGGGATGCATCCACGCCTGGCTTGAGCATCAGTGGGGTCGGTGCCGTCTCACCCCACAGGTGGAGAACATGCTGTGGCCCGGGGGCGGGAGCCAGCTCCCCAGCTCCATCTGCAGCCTGCCCTGCAAGCCAGGCGAGAGGAAGAAGCTGGTGAAGGGCATCCCCTGCTGCTGGCACTGCGAGCGCTGCGACGGCTACCAGTACCAGCTGGATGAGTTCCACTGCAAGAGGTGCCACTTCAACGAGCGCCCCAACGAGAACCACACTAGCTGCACGCCCATCCCCATCATCAAGCTGGAGTGGAGCTCGCCCTGGGCCGTGGTGCCCGTCTTCATCGCCATCGTGGGCATCATCGCCACCCTCTTCGTGGTGGTCACCTTCGTGCGCTACAACGATACGCCCATCGTCAAGGCGTCGGGGCGGGAGCTCAGCTACGTCCTGTTGACGGGCATCTTCCTCTGCTATGCCACCACCTTCCTCATGATCGCCGAGCCCGACCTGAGCACCTGCTCCTTGCGCCGCATCTTCCTCGGGCTCGGCATGAGCATCAGCTACGCCGCCCTGCTCACCAAGACCAACCGCATCTACCGCATCTTCGAGCAGGGCAAGAAGTCGGTGAGTGCTCCCCGGTTCATCAGCCCCGCTTCCCAGCTGGTCATCACCTTCAGCCTCATCTCGCTGCAGCTCGTGGGTGTCTGCATCTGGTTCATCGTGGACCCGTCCCACTCTGTCATTGACTACGAGGACCAGCGGACTACAAACCCCCACTTTGCTCGGGGCATCCTCAAATGTGACATTTCGGACCTCTCCCTCATCTGTTTGCTTGGGTACAGCATGCTTCTCATGGTCACCTGCACTGTGTATGCTATTAAGACCCGCGGGGTCCCGGAGACCTTTAACGAAGCCAAACCCATTGGGTTCACCATGTACACTACTTGCATTGTGTGGTTAGCCTTCATCCCTATATTTTTTGGGACGTCGCAGTCGGCAGAAAAGGTAAGGAGGGGAACGGTTTGGCTGGTGGCCCCGTGGGCTGCCAGGAAGGGGGCTGCGAGGGGCTGGCGTGTCCTGAGCCAGGAGTGGTGCTGCCCTGCAGCCCTGCTGCTTGGAAATCGTGGTGAGAAGCATTGATTTGAAACCTCTTGCTCCACGAGGGAGCAGAGGCTCCTGCCTCCAACCCTCCGCTCTTGCCTTTCCTTTTCCAGATTTTTTTTGTGTGTGTCTTTCCTCCCTCTCCCCTCCCTGTCTTTCCTGGTTCATTTCCTCTCTCCCTCCCATTTTCTGCGTCCTGTTGTCCCTACTGCCCCTCCCTGAGCAGGGCTGGTAGAAGTGAGCTGCTGCTGGGTGGAGGGGATGTGTTCCTGGGGCAGCTGGGGACCACGTGGCCATATCCAGGACCCCAGTGTCATTGGCACCATGGACAAGAAACCCTGAGGAGTACCCAGCCAGCTGCTTGCCCTTGTGCCACATGGAGAGATGGAGATGCTCTTGGAAATCCCAGAGAGCTGGGGGCAAGGGAAAGGGAGGAGCAGGCTCCTGAGCTATTCCCCTCTTTCCCTGGGGCACCTGGCAGCCTTCTCACTCAATTTGCTGCAATTTTAATTAATACCTGAGTTTGGCAACACAGCACCCACAACGAGTTCCTCGGTGTGGCTGCAGCACAGAAGGTGAGGGGACCTGCAGCGGGGCGCAGCAAGGATCTGTCCTGGGGGGCTGTGCTGTCCCTGGGGGCTTTGGGGAGCCCCTGCTCCTCGGGACCTGCTGCAGCTCTGAGTCCTGCTTGTGTAGATGAGCACAGGATGGACAATCCCAGCAGTGGATCTGTGCTGGGAACCCACCAGTCTGTCTGCCTCCCTCCCTGTCCCCAGCTGCCCGTGCTGGGCGCAGAGCGTGCTGCCGGTGCCAGTACCCATGGGAGCAGGGCCAGCCCGGATGAAACGTGTGCTCAAGTGAGAACAAAGGAAAAAAAATCTCATGAATGAGACCAAAATCGCCTTTGCCTGCCAGACAAAATGAGAATCGAGAATCGCATTTATGTTAAATGCGAGCAGCTCGTGCCTGCCAGCCTGGCACTGCCTGTAACACACAAACCTTGGTGCTGCTATTCCTGAAAATCCCTGGCATCGACATCCTCAGGGTGACCACCACTCGGATTCCCCCTCTGGACCCATTGCAACTGGGGTAATTCCCCCTCGAGTGTGTCCACATCGATGCCGAGCTGCTGAAGCTGTGGATTTTGGAAACCCCTATTGTAAGCGGGTTGGCTTGCTGGCAAAGACCAGGCGGCCTTTTGGTGTGGACACCAGAGTTTCACTCGTCCTGGAGAGCTGCTTCTGCTCAGAGCATCAAACTCTGAGAGCCTGAGTCTGTACACAAACCTTGAGCCTTGCCTCAACCAAAAAATCTCTGCCAAGCCAGCCTGCTCTAGCCAGAAGTGTGAAGGAGAATTAAAGGAAATAAATGGAGCCTTTTGCAGCATTTCCATTTTGATGAGATGGCAGGGGAGATACTAACAAGAAAGCAGGTTTTTTAAGAAATTATTGCAAAACAAAAGCTCCCTTAAAGCCACCTTAATGTGCTCGGCATACTGTGGGTAATAAAGATGGAAATGATAATGATTGTAGATTATGCGCAAGGTTGCTCACCTCTTCACTGCAGCTTGTCATGGGATAATTTAGGGCTGCCGAAAGCTGGCTGTCAAGTAGCAATTCGACAATAGGCTGTGCCTCACTTCGGGGGCTTGTAATGTGCAGGGCTTCTCTGTTATTAGGCTGCTAACAAGCTGATTAGAGGCGGAAAAAGTGATGTTCCCAGCTCCCCTTGGACACGGCGCTCTTTCTCAGTGTTTGCTGCTGCTGTGGCGGCCGCTGAGCAGTCCCAGGAGGGGCTGGCAGCATTTTGGCTCGGCACAAGGACGTCCTGCTGGGGGGTGTCAGCTTGGAGCATCCCCAGGAGAGGCCACAGAGATGGACGAGCCCAGAGGGGCAGATGCAGGAATCGGGTGTTTGCTTGCTGCCGGCCTCGATGCTTTAGCTGCTGGTTCGTGGTCTCGGGGAGAAAAAGGTGAAAAAGGTGTTGTGCACGTTGCTGGGATGGAAATTAGGGGTGTTTGCAGTGGCACAGCCCTATAGCAGTGCTGGCATTGCCTGGGGTGCTCAGCAGGGCTCAGCAGGAGCCCCCTCCTCTGCCCTGGTCCTGCAGGGACTTGGGCCCCACGGGGGGCTCAACACACCCAGGGGACAAGCTGGGAGCTCTGCCTGGGGCCCTGTTGTCCTCACGGAGCACGGCAGGCGTTTGCTTGAGGCTGGGGGATGGCACGGGGCAGCCCCGCAGCACCCAGCAGCGCCCAGCACCTCGGCACGACCCCCGTGGCCAAGGCTGCTTTGTGGCGGGGGGCAGCAGGACGAAAATCCCCATTTTTCTGGCATTTCCCTTCACCTTGTGCCTACAACTTTGCATGGAGGTGGCATATGATTATAACAAGTCCCCCAAGCCTTTGCTCAAAAAGAACCTCTTATCCCTGCCGATCCCGGCGGATTACAGAAATAGCAATAACCGAGGATCTAAAGAAAGAGACAATTTCCTGCACTGATAAGGCAGCAGCCGAACAGCGGTGTCATTGTCTGGTTCCCTGTTTATCACATTTGCTTTCAGCGAGGGAGAGAGGACAAATGAGAAGTGTCCAGAGGTTTGCTTAGCGCTGCTGGGGAAGGGACGAGGGGGTTTTCCCTTCCCTGGCACCCCCCGAAAATGCAGGAGTTGGTGCTTGCTCGGCTGCTTGCCCTGCTCGGTGCAGGAGCAGCATCCTGAGTCAGAAATGGGCAGTGTCATGGGCTCCTCACCATGCCATGGGGCATCAGATCCTGCTGAGGCGGAGATGTCGCGGCCTCTGTCACCGCTGCTCACGCTTCAGGGGGCTCTGGAGGCTGCTCGAGTGCCATTAACGGGGGCACAGCGGGGCCCTGGGCTGGAAGCTAATTATGGGAGTGGGAACTGAAACCGTGAGAAATGGTCATTTTCTGGTCTATCGAGAGGTTAACGGTGCTTCCTAGTCGTGTTTGGACTCCAGGCTAAAAATATTCCTCTGTCAGCCAAAAAGGGGCTTGCCAAAAAGTGCCCCTGACGTGGTGCAGAGCTGGCGGTGCTACCAAAAACAAGTGGTTTGGCGCCAGCTACCAAAACAGGGCAGTTTGTGCCGAATGGCTCATCGGGCTGAAGGTAGCTGTGGTGGTCCTGGGAGACCCCAGATGTGCTGGGGGGGTCCGGGGGTCTTGGCAGAGGGAAGCCCCCAGCTGTGCTGGGGATGTGGCCCCGGCAGGGAGCGTGCACGGGGATGTCAGGTGTGAGCTCAGCTGCTTCCCCTCTCCATCGAAACGCCTCTGAGCCTCGAGGCATGGGTGGGAGTCTGCAGAGGCAGAAAATATGGGAACTGCGAAGCGAGGATCCTCCAAAAGGCATCTGCTGAGGAGCAGGAGTGTGGGGGGGAGGCGGGGGGCTGCTGAGCCTCGGCTGTGCCCCACAGCGGGGTTGGGGGCGTTGTGCCGAGCTTTGCTGGTCCCCGAGGCAGGGGTTGGGGGACCTGGAGCTGGTGTCCCCCTGCTGCCCTCGCTGCCAGCGAGCCTGGCCCTGGGTGCTTGCAGAAAAGTCTGGAGAGCTTCAGCCAAAAAAAGAATTCAGCCAAGAAGAGAAGCAAGGGGTTGGGGGGAAGGAGAAAAAAGAGAGAGAAAGAGGAGATATTCTGGCACAAAGAGATGTTTTGACTTTTCCTGATGAAGTGACATTTTTATTTCTAAAATCTGCCTAACTTGACTCTGTGTGCATATAGAGAGAAGGTGGAACAAACAAACCAGCACATGTGACAGCAATAGGTTTTATTCTGGGGACAAACCAAACTTCTTGGCTGACTCAGACTGAGCTTTGTTGCTTTTTTCCTTTTGGGTCAGGTCGGAACACTCCGAGGGCTGTGTGTTTGCTTTTGAAGGGGGAGAACAAAGCGAAACGTTTCTCTGCGTGGTTGCGCCCAGGTCCTGCAGGCCCTGGGGTGGGACAAAGCCCAGGCCAGGAGCTGGGGCTTCCCACCAGCTCTCACTGCCAGGACAGAGCTGCCTCCGTGCACCTTCTCCCTGCAGACCCTGGGTGCTCCTCTGTGCTCAGCTTCTGCCCTTGGTCACCTTTTTGCTCCACTGACTCCAGGAAAGGAGCCTGAGCTTAAATTCATGCAGCGGGGGAGCTGGGGGCACCAAATCCCACCCAAGGAATAACTCCAGAAGAAACCCCGGACACCAAGCAGCTATGGGATAACGTTCAGAAACTGCTTTCAGCCTCCTTGTTAGCAATCTGAGAATCCGCCCCAGCACCTGAGCACAGCTGGAATAAAAAATAATGGTGTGTGCACAGGCACGAGGAGACCCCGAGCCCCCTCCCTGCCCTGCCACGTGCGCCACGAGCCGTGGGAGGGGATGCTGGAGAGGACAGGGCCTGGGGCTGGGAGCGGGGATGCTGGTGGAGAGAGGATGGGCGAGAGGTGGGGATGGGAGGAGGGAGGAGGTCCCTTCGCCTCCTGTTGCTGCCTGCTTCAGATGCCCCCGGCTTGCGAGGAGACTGCCAAGCGCTTTCCGTAGAAAAATGGATTATTCTACAGTCAGATTAATGGGCTTTCATTTCGCAAAACATCTGTCACTGTTAGTCCTGGACAGTGAGCGTGAAATTAGTTTTGACTGCAGAAAGGCAGCGTCGGTGTGTAATATGTGACTTACATGACAACGGTCCGGGAGCCAGCTGGGGAACGGGGATTACCTGCTGGAAGGGGACGGGGGTGCATGGGATGCTCCGTGGCCGTGGTGTCCTCGCTGTGCCCATCACCACGGCGTTGGAGCTCCTGCCCTGCAGCTGGTTGGGAGTGCTGTGGGTGCTGGGGAGCAGAGGGAAGGTCAAGAGGGTGCTTGGCCCCTGTCCCTGGGGATGTCTGTAAGCTGGGAGGCCGGCAGCTTTCTGGGGGCTTGGTGCAGGGTGGCTGTGCCGGGGTCCCAAAATGCGGGTCGGGCACCAACGTGGTATTTCCCCATGTTTGCAGGCGTGGAAAAAGCAAAAGCAGAGCAGCAGGCTTCTCCACGTGTACTTTGCCTTGGCCCATGCAACAATCTGAGCCTGACGTTTAAGATCCAATCCTGCCCATTCCTGCCTCCCCACTCCGTTTATTTAACGCCAAGGTTGCGCAGTCCCTGCTCCTCTCCTCCTTCCCCAGCTGATCATTTCCCCCCTCATCCTAGCGAGCTGAGCTCATGCCCTTGTGTCTTGCAGATGTACATCCAGACCACGACGCTCACCATCTCGGTGAGTCTGAGTGCCTCCGTGTCCCTGGGCATGCTCTACATGCCCAAGGTGTACATCATCCTCTTCCACCCGGAGCAGAACGTCCCCAAGCGCAAGCGGAGCCTGAAGGCGGTGGTCACGGCGGCCACCATGTCCAACAAGTTCTCCCAGAAGGGAGGCTTCCGCCCCAACGGGGAGGCCAAATCAGAGCTGTGCGAAAATCTGGAAACACAAGGTAAGGTAATGTGGCTCCTGGTGGGGGGAGCGGGTCCTGCCTGGAAGCCCAAAGTCCTGGCTGGCCGGCAGGCTGCAGCTGGGCTGTCCGGTGCTGCATGGGCTCAGGTGATGCTGGCATCACGGGGAGGTGTCAGATGCCCCCTACCATCCTCCAGCAGTGGGAAGGGCTGTGTCCAACGTCATGGGGATCACTCTGCTTCCTGAGGAGGGTGCTGGGCTCTGGTTATCTGCAACGGGAGAGCAGCTGTCCTGTCCATTGGCAGGGCAGATTTCCCCTCTGTTAATTTATTTGCACCCAAGAACCGTATTTTTTCATCACCACGTGGGTGAGACAGGATGTGTCGTGCCTACTCCTTCCATATGGGAAATGCTGATGGGTGGCTGGAATGGGAAATCACAGAATCATTACGATTGGAAAAGCCCTCCAAAATCATCTGGTCCAACTATCCCCCTGCCACCACTGTCCCCACCGAGCCGTGTCCCCAAGCACCAGCCCCAACCTCTCCTAGAGCACCCCCATGGACGGGGACTCCCCCACCTCCCTGGGCAACCTGTCCCAGTGCCTGACTATGCTGCAGGCAGTTCCTCTCTGCTGCACTCAGCATCTTTCTCCCCCTCAGGACGTGTAGCAGGAGCCCCTGAGGCTCATACGTGCTGGGAGCAGGGAGAGCTGAGCCTCCTGTCTGCCGCATCTCCGGCTCGGATGTGTCTCGCATGGGGATTACGGGCGCTGGGTGTGCAGTGGCGTGCCAAGGCTGCAAGCTGGGCACAGCATCGCTGCCAGGGTGGGAGGCACGGAGGGTCTGTTCTTCACTCTGTCACTGGTGGGTCACGGATCCTGAAATAAACAGCAGAATAAATAATTCACGGGGCTTTGATATGGGCAGATTGGCTACGAAAACATTGCAGCTAACAAATAGCTCTGTCAGCTCTAATTTCGTATGGCCTATCTAATTGTTAGCTGGGAAACCCAGGCTGCAATCTCCAGCAAGGTTCATTTGTCAGCGAGGCACCGAGGTGGACGCAGAGCGCTGGGAGGGGGAGCTGCTGGCGTCTTCGCTCTCCCGTGTGGATGGTGGAGCCCACTGGGCTTATAAAGGATGCATTTGTGCTTCTTGTGGTGTCCTGACCTCTGTGTCTCGCCCCATGTCCTTGGCTGGAGGTGTCTGTGTGCCTGCTGAGCCCCGTGGTCTGTGGGGACCTGGTGGCAAGGTCTCTTCAGAGCATCATGCCCAGAGCACCGAGAGGAGCCAGGGTGCTGCAAGCTGCTGCCACCTCCTCTCCCTGACCTGTGGCTGCCACCAAAAGCAAGTGACACAAAGGCAGCAGCACAGCCCTGCAGGGAGCAGGAGGAGTTATTGTTATCTGGCATTTTCCTGGCTCTGCCAGGCTCGTGAAGGACTGGGGCAAGAGGAGGTGTTGGGAGTGTGGAGCATCTGTGGGTTTGTCCAGCTTGAGGGAAGGGAATGGGAATATGAGGATGCATCGTGGGGCTCGTGGCACTTCCCGGGGTCTCTCTTCATGGCAATCTGTCTTTAGAGAGCCCCCAGGGGCTCAGCAACTCTGGCACGGCTCAGGGTCCTTAGAGGGACTGTCCCCGGTGCCAAGGCTGGCCGGATCCATGAGCAAACACCAGGCCGTGTCCCCACCAGCATCTCCCTGGCCAGACGGGGGGCACGGGATGGGAGCCAGAAAGAGCAGGCAGGTTTTGTCCCCCATACATGCGAGGTTTGTCTCTCTTTCCAGCGCTGGCTACCAAACAGACCTACGTCAGCTACAGCAACCACGCGATTTAACTCCAGGGATCGCAACCGCCTGGCATGGAGGGAGGCTGCGGCTGCCGCGGAGCGGGAGGGAGCTGAGCTGCATCCCTCGTGGCACCGCGCTGCAGGGGACTGGGATGGGACAGGGAGGTGGCAGCGGGGTCCTGCTCCTGAACGGGCTGGGGGCAGAGCTCCTGGGGATGATGATGTTCAACAGCAGCAAAAAAAAAAACAATCAAACAACAACAAATAAATAATCAAAAGAAATCACCGACCACCGTGACGATGCATGCCTCCCCACGGAGGAAGAGGAACAGTTGAGCAGGGGGGGGTGAAATGTGGGGAAGAGCTGATGGACTGCAGCAAGGCTTTGTTTATTTTTTCTGTATCTTGGCAAAAAAAAAAAAAAGAAAAAACAAGAAAACAAAAAACGACCCAACATTTTCCCTTTTCTGGAATTTGTGAGATTGTTTGTGGTTGTGCAGCACCTTCTGGTTTCTTTCTTTTTTAAAAAAAAAAAATTATCCCTCATTTTCTTTTGTTCCTGTATTCCTCTGTCACTCTTCACTCTCCCTTATCCTACCAAATTCTATATGTTGCAAAAAGGAAAAATAAATAAAAAATACGTAAAATTTAAATAAAAAAGAGACAACGAAATAAAATAAAATAAAACCTAGACTGTGTTCAAAGTGCTGATTTCTATAGGTGGTTAATTAATGTACGTGATGATCATATGGATTGAAATATGTCTGCTTTATGTACTGACCAGTCAAAAAAAAAAAAAAAAAAAAAGAAAAAATACAAAGTTCAGTGCCTGGATGTTTATGAATTATTCGATGACTGTGTAGAGCATGATCATTTTTATACGAGGAGATTTCTAATAAAAGACCATGGTTTTGCACTCGGCGTTTGCTGTCTCTTGGTGCCTGTTCAGTCCAGCCCCCAGGAGGTGACTTGGTTTCGGTTCTGGTGGCTGAGCGCTCCCAGGGGGGGCTCAGCACCCTTCCCCTCCACGCGGGTCCTCGCGAGGGGCCAGGACAAGGCCAGAAGGAGAGCTCAGCACCACGCTGGCACAGCGTGTCAGGGCTCGTGCTCAGTGCTTGGGGCAGAATCGGGCAGAAAGGGCTGAGTCCTTTGTGTTTGCTCTTCCCCGAGGTGTGGGTTGAGGCTGGAGGATGGCACGGTGCAAAGGAAGCGATTTCCTCTTCTTTTCTCCCTTTAGAGGCAGGGCCAGCTCCACCATCCTCATCAAGACTCACATGGGTTAATTAGGGAGTCACCAGCTAACGAGAGCAGCCCTGCTCTGCCTGCTTACCCCAGGCTCCAGCCTGCCTCTTGGGACAGCACAGCCCGATGCACAGGGTAGGTGGCTGTTCTCAGCCTTGCTTTTGCCTGTTTTGGGGAGGTTTTGGTGCTCTGCAGAGACATTGGAGCTGTTTGTGGTGTCCCAACCTCTGAAGCAGCAGGGATTTCTTCCCATCTCTTTACGTGTGTTCCTACCAGTGCAAAATACCCATGTATTCCCTCTCTGAGCCCAGGAGAAGCTATCCCACTGTTTTGCATGTTTCTAGACCTATTTGTGTATTAACTGCAGCCCCACAGTCTGTGCCTCTGGCTGTGTGCCCTGGGGAGGGGAGGTCTTGGTGCCACTCCAAGTACTGCAGGGACCTTCAGCTATCAATCAGTGCAAGGGAACCAAGCCTGTCCCTGCTGATGCAGGGAGGACAGAGCAGGGCTTGAAGGCAGGAGTTAAAGAAGAAAAAGAAATATAATGAAACGCCTGAAACTTTCATAAGATCACACTTGTCAAAAGAGCTTCTCAGGAGGAAGAACTGCTCCATTCCCACTGCGTTCATCACTGTCGGATCAGATGTGAAATGCTGCCTGGTTCACAGGGCTCCCAGAAAACCCAAGTCGATGTCTCTGGTGCCATTCCTAGCTTTGTTACTGCTCTGCTGTTTTTACAAGCAGCCTTCCACCCCAAGCTCTTCCTGACAATGACTGGAAAGGCTGATTCCACTTTAATTACAGCATTCCCCTTCCTCCCCTTGCAGCTCCTATGAGGAGGGATGCTCTGAGCCCTCCAGAGAGGCTGTGGCCAGGGAATGACCGTGCTGCCACCCAGCAGATCCTCCAGGCTTGTCTGTGCAGGGACGCAGGGCACAGCACGAGCAGTGGCCCCAGGGTGAGAGGTGGTGGGGTCTGGCCTTCAATATCTGGGATGGTGCTTCCCAAGGGGGCACCTTTGATGCTTGGAGAAGAAGTCACTTGGCCAAATCTTTATTATAGTTTCAAGTAGATTCATGTTCCCCTCTTGCATCAGGCCCTATTTAAGCACAATAGCTACCCTGATTTCCCGATGGATCTGATGGAGTTTTAAATCAAGAGAGTCCTCATGTGGGTACTTATTTTGGTGTAAGTGTGCTTTACAGTGATTCAGTCTTATTCTTTACAGACTTTAGCTTAAATATTATAAAGAGGCTCTTAAGTAGATATGCAAAATATTTGTACAAAGCCAACCTCACTGGTCTTGGAACAGAATTTTAATTGGCCCCATTTTTATCAGCTCCAACCTACCCCTACTGGCACTGCGTCCATGTGCTGGCAGAGCTGCATCCCTCCCAGGGCTGGATGTGTTTCAGTGGCAGATGCAGTGACCTCTGAACATGGTTGGTTAATTTGGTATGGCATTTCCTGATACAGTGCCGTTTAATTCTAGACACTTATTTGATTATGAAAGCTAATTAAAAGGGAGCAGTCTATAAGCAATTGAGATGGACTTAGAGTGACACAGACCTAGGCAGGCTCTGGCTGCTGCTATCTGCAGGGAGGTGATAGCTGCTGCTGTTGGGGCAGGTTTGGGAGCTGGTTGGCATCTCTTAGGACTGAGTTTCAGCTTTGCTTAATGTGTTTGAGGGCAAGAGGAGCAGAGTAGATACTGAGTGATCTGGTGGGGGAATTCCTAGGTTTTGGCACTTGATGTAAATTTTTAATAAGGTGCTTGTACCAAAATCTGTGCTGTTGTTCTCCTCTTGTCCTTCGCAGCTTAAAAGCACTTACCTGTTTTTTCCCTTATTCTCGTGAAGGACTGCTGAATTTAAATGACAATAACTGCTTGAGTTCCCCAAGCGGTTCGCCTGTACATTTCTTCCCTTTTAATGGCACACTGAGAAGTGGGGCAGAAAACCTGCTGTAGCACCAACTCCAAGGTTCTCCTGCTCGTATCTCCCCCACTCAGCTGCGATGGGGATTTCCTTTCCTGAGCTCCCCCTTGTTCCTGAGAGCTTTTGGGGTCCCACCACCCTGGGTTCCTGGGTGCTTTTGGGGCCCCACCACCCTGGCAGTGGTGCGTTGGGTCCCGTTGTGTGTGTGTGTGCGTGCACGTCCCCAGCCTGTATGTGAGGCAGCAGCGTGGAGCCTGTCATTAACTCTGTTCTGTGAGAGGCAAATTACAGACTCTAGTGACACAATTAGGCCAACTCTATAGGAAACGGAAAAAATAAAATCAAATCGCTTCTCTGTAGATTTCTCAGTCTCATCTCTTGCTCCCCAACCGCTCGGGTTTGGAGCCCGCCTGTCAAAGCCACAGGAGAACCCCTGAGTAAGGAAATCTGGAGCAAGGGGATGCGGGGAGCAGGGCTGGAGCAGGCAGGTGGAGGATGGAGCTCGAGTGGTTCCTCCCTTACTCCATGACAGGCCTACACCCAGTTCTGGCCTGTGGGCAGGGCTGCACGGTCCCAGTCTGGCCTCAGGAGATCCGAGTGCTGCTTGCAGCAAGGTGTCACTGGCACTCAGAGGAGAATGCAGCAGAGCTTGTGACATCTGCTGTGGTTCATCTTGTGGGGGACCAGCTCTGCAGCGAGCAGGTTGAGCTCATCTCTGTGTTAGAAAGCGCTTCTCCTACTGAGAGCCATCGCCAGCTGAAACCTTTGTCCTGGAGCAGCAGGCCCCTGGGGGGCCACTGGGAGCTTCAAAGACACAAATGGAGGCTTTGAGTGTGATTTTTCTGGATTGTGAGAAGCCAGGGAGGAGGCTGGAAAGCTGTGATGAGTGCATCAGTGCTGCTGAGGAGGCAGATGATGCCTCTGAGCCGTCCCAGGGGGACAGGGGCCACAGTGGGAGGTGGAAGCACCCCCGTGCCCACTGCCTGGTTCCTCTCTGCGAAGCATCCCCAGCAGCCAGGGCCCATGGCTGGGAGGTGAGCGTGTGGCACATACGTGAGGGTCTGTCCCCAGTGGCAATATTCTCTTGTATGGCCGAGTGAGTCAATGGCAGATTGTGTTGAAATCTCACTTCAGCAGCAAAAGCTGCAATTAGCATTTAATGAAGCTTCTTGCTTTTATTTTTAGGTAACCTCCGATTCCCTGACTGTGTAATTTAGTCCTCCATTGCTTGGAGATAATTAAAGTATGTCACTATAATTTGCTTTTTTTAAAAGCCTGTAATTATGTTTTTATTGAGAATAAAAAAGAAGGGGGGAGGGGAAGGGGGAAATGAAAACAATTCTAGGGGAAGAAGCCTGGACGGGCAGGGGGGGTTTCTGCCAGCTTGAATATTCTGCCCAGGATGCTGGATAGACCAGAGACAGAGGAAGGGCTCCTGCATTGTTGTGGATGGTGGCAAGGTGTGTCTCAAGCGGAGGTGTGTGAGCTTCAGGTGCCTGCAGGCCCAGATTTTGTGTGTGTGACGCTCAGCAGCAGCATAACCACAGTGTGTGTGTGGGCTGTGTGCAGGACCAGCCCTCTGTCCTCAGCATCACTCCCCTCACAGCATCCTTTGGGCAAAGGCTGTGGGGTAGCCGAGGGGGAGGCGGTGCAGGGTGAGTTAAACCTGGAGCAGAACAGCTGAGGTCTCATCCCTGCAGCCTCCCACCCCCAAGGTTTCCCTGCCATGCACAGCAAACATCTGCATGCACGCTGGGGCTTTGCCTATCAGCTGCAGGCAGCTGGTCTCTGTGCCAGGGCGCGCTTTGCTGCGTGCTGATGGCAGATGGGGGTGGCTGGGTTTGGATTTTGGGAGGTTTTTCCTGATCTTTTTGGACCCTTGGGATTAGCCTGTGGTGGCTACTCCTTGCCATTTGGGCTGTGTTTGAGTCTGTAAATGCTGCTACTGGATGTCAAACAACCAGTGTCCCTCCAAAACCCCCAGCACCAACACTGACCGTGCCAGCCAGTGCATCACGCCTTGCTCCCTTGCTGTGCATGGCCTCTGGGCCTGCATTGCTCTGGGGAAGCCACTACACAGACTGGTACGAAATGAAAGTGGCTGTCACAGGAGGAACCACTCACCTACAATTCACAGCCTGGAAGCTGGCTGTTGGAGGAGAGTTGAATATTGAAAAAATTCGAGATAATTGATTGGCCTGTGGCCAGTTCTCAGCCAGAGACTGATGAAACAAGTTGGATTGTTAGCTTTTTCTTTAAGTTATTTTTGCTCAATTTTTTGAGTGCTAAGAAGTTACACTTGGTTTGGAATACATTTAATTCATTAAAACATTGTTCTACTCTGACGCAGAGTTCAGATCTGAACCCAGGCTTTATTCTTTATCGAAATGCAAAGGTTTCTCATCAAAAACACAAAGCAGAAAAAACCTTGGTGCTTAGGAAAAGGGACAGGATGGAGGGTGAATGGTGCTGAACTGCGTTCCAGCACGGGGACCTCAATGGAGCTTGAGCTGATGTCTGCACTGGTGTGTGCCCAGTTTGCTTCATGCCTATGCTGAGGTGAAGCCTTTAGGGGCACTTGCCCAGTCCTGCAGTGCTTGGTGTGTCCTGGCACTGCAAGCAGCAAGCCAAAGCCCTGCAGACAGCCTCTGATGCAGGGTGCTTGTATGCTGGGATGCTGAGAAAATTGGTGCAGCCCGCTGTGAAACTGTTCACACTGGAGAGGTCTGCTCCTTGTGGAGA